ACAGGGTGGGGCGTCCACCTAAGGTATTTTTGGGTTTCTCAAAATTAGGGGTACCCTTTTTGAGGGTCCCCGAGTCCCTACAGTAAGGACTATAGTATTTTGAGGCCTATATGGCGGTCCTCCTATGTAGGGAAACTACCATATAACCCCAACATGGGTAAATAGAGCTACATAGCATCCCTCTGAAGGGGCGAGAGGGGCAATATGGGAGTTTCGACAAGGGTTACTCAGGGATGTACAACCCCAATAGTAGAGAATCAAATTGGCAAGAACACGGAAAATGAAATGGAAACTGGGACCTCATTTAATGAGGCTCTGTCAAAACTCAGACGGTCCCTGCATTACCCGAAAAGGGACCAACCAAAAATCAGAGAACAAAGCGATGCAGCCTGCTATGCCGCGCTCTCTCTGTGCAGCTGGTTCTCCAGGTAGGATATATGTCATAGCAGTGTGTGCAACATGGTTGAAGGTCACGAACCAGCAACGGTAAAGATCTCGAACTAATCAAGGATCATGTGAGCAGGGTCAACAAGCATCCTGTGAACATGAAGGGTTGTATTCGAATGGCCCCTCGCGACGACTGAAGTTTGTTTCTACAGACCTAAACCCCTGTTTGTATGACAGACATCGACTGCCATGCTGAGCAGCTGGATGAAGTGGAGGCTTTACAGGCCATCTTCCCAGATGAGATAGAGTTGACTTGTGATGATGCAGGACAGGTCGAACTCTCGCTCCTGGTTAGCCCAGACTTGGCTGGTGAGCTTGGTGACAAGCCTCTCCTCCTCCGCGCAGCAGCTCCACCAGATGAAGCGCCGGAGATCTCAGGAGGGGGCTATCCCTCCTCAGGCTCAGCTCCGGGAGTACCGGATGTGAAGAACACGGTGAGCCAGGACAAGCCGCGCCTGGGGAGGTCTGTAAGCGGCCAGCATGCTTACGCAGAGTGTGAGGTGCGGCAGCTGCCGCCTGTGCAGCTGCAGCTGAAGCTCCCAGCTGGGTATCCTGCCTCTGCACCGCCTGACTTTCGCTTGTTCTGCTCTTGGATAGATGTAGGAGCCTTGTCCTCTCTCTGCCAAAGCCTGGATGACCACTGGGAACAAGCAGAAGGGTCTGCCATCATATACACCTGGGTCGAGGCTCTGCGAGTAGAGGTATTGGAATTCATCCTCAAAGGCCCCGGATCCTCGGACAGAGCTACTCTCACGCTGGAGTCCAGTGACTCATGCTCTGTTGAGGCAGACCCGCGTGCTGTGTCTGAGTGCGGCACACCCATGCAAACGCTTCAGGATTTGCTGCTCTACGATAAAGGAAAAGGCCTGGACATTTGGATGCAGCAGCAGCACGTTTGCAACGTGTGCTTCTCTGAGCACCCAGGCTCACACTTCGTACTCTTGGGGGGCTGCAGCCATTCATTTTGCAAGCACTGCGTAAAAGCAATGGCCCAAATCCATGTCACTGAAGGAAGCATTGCCGAACTGCTGTGCCCAGAGGTAGACTGCCGCGCCGAGATTGCGCCGAGTGCTTTGACGCAAGTCCTAGATGAGCAAGGCTACGAGCGGTGGCAAACCCTGAAACTTCGCAAAGCACTGACAACTGCAAACCTGGTTCTTTGCCCGCGCTGTGAAGAGAATGGACTAGAAACGCCGGTTTTGCCAGATCCAGTCGATGAGGAAGATGAGGCGATGCCGGTGGCAAGGTGTGAGCGGTGTGGCTATGTATTTTGTGCAAAGTGCCTGTCGCTGTACCACGGAAAGGAGCCTTGCCTTGCGCCAGAGGAGCGAGCGCAGCAGGCAGCCATGCGCCGGCTGGGAACGGCACAGAGCGTGGCTGAGAAGCGCAAGCTGAAGCGTGAGGCGCAGAAAGGATACCTGGTTTGCGTTGATGTGGGGGAAGATATGCTTCCTATCGATGCGGCTGGGCATTCCACCGAGGACCGTGACAGCGTTGCAGAAGGGGACAAGGTCATTGCTGTCCATGCTGGAGTGCCAGACAAGCTGACGGGTCGTGCGTTGTGGGATGCTAAGTTCGACAATATCTGCGATCTGCCAACAGTTTTAATGGAATCTGCGAGGCCGCCAGCTGGAGCCTTGCACGGGGATGTAAGCAGTTGCTAGCCAACCTTTGCTACGGGGTTGACTTGGGCTAATGAACGTAGAGCCCTAATTTACAAACCCTCTCCCTTTAATTAAGGGCGTTAATATGGTTCTGTAATCAGAATCATAATCCCTATTAAGGGAGGGGTTTATTAATCAGGGGCCTAGTGAAAAATGAGTCGGATGAACCTCAAGAGCAAACTTGGGTTCGGTTTCTGAGTATGGTCGGGAGACATGTAGGCTCAGCTGCGTCGTAGCTGCATCGCTTGCAGGCCCATCAGCATCCGTCTGGTCCGCACACGGGCAGACGCTGCAATTGAGCGGGTTCGCCAGCGGCGACTGATGGAAGAGCTCCTGTTTCCTGGTGCGTTTAGACGGTTTTCTGTAGGATAGTTCTGCTTGAACCTTTCATTAGCAAGCAAGCCTGGAGAGACAATTTCCTAGTGAGCGTTTATATGAGCCATATTCTAAACTCCTTAAAGGGGGTTATATAGGGGATTATATAGGGACTACTATAAGGGTTATTAATGGGGATACTAGGAGTTTAGACAATGGCTCATATGTACTGATGAGCAAAGGACTCTCAAGGAGATTGCGCGCGAATCCCAGCCTTGTCCGCAGTGCAAAGTGCGTGTACACCGCACAGCGGGATGCAACTGAGTTGCTGTTAAGGAACTTAAATTAAGTTACCATAATGGGTATATATATATAGTAATTGATATGGTTTCCCAATACAGTAGTTAACTAGAATTAAGTTCTTTGACAGCAGCCCAGGCAACCACATGCATTGCAGTCAGTGCCGGGCTCATTTCTGTTATCGCTGCGGGGCACAGATGGACAGCGAGGATCCCTACGCACACTTCAAAACGGGCAAATGCCCAACTTTTGATGATGCAGAGGTACGGAGGATTGCAGCACAGGAGAGGCAGCCTGGGTTTGTGGACCATGAGCTGCAACGCCTGAGAGCTGAGTTTGGAGACCAGAGGGACTTGTTCTTGCAGTTTCAGCAAGCCAATGGCATGCAGACAGCGCATGCTGGAGGGCGAGGAAATGTGGCTGCTCGGAGACGTATGGGCGATGTACCCTGCCCAACCTGTGGACAGTGGAATGGTCGTGTGGGCAATCTCAACCACATTCGCTGCGGCATGTGCCGCAATTCTTTCTGTGGCCACTGCAGGCCTGTGTGGGTTGATTGGGGCAGTTTAGGGGGTGCGAGGGTGCTAGAACGCGAGCATGTACCTCGTCTCAGTTACACTCCCGTCGCATGAATTCGATACCCGTGCAGGCGTCGCATACATGGCGTCATCTCCCACCATTATCGAGGAGAGAATGCTTGCCCGCAGCACTTCCGTGCCCCGGAGTAGTTCAGTAGATGATGTGCTTGCCTGCAGGATCTCCAAAGGAGGCCCTAGCTGGGGAAAAGCAAAGTAGGAAAAGGGGTCTAGTTATAATCAGAGTATAACCGTTATATAACCATGACCAGACTATCTCCTACAGCCCGTTGTACATACGGCCTTTGATGACACCAGTTTGTGATAATACGGTAGTTTCCATGAATTGGGGGCCCTGAAAGAATATGATCCTTCCTATAATTATAGGGACCCCAATGAGGTACCCCTACTTTGGGAAACCCTACAACCTCTATATATCCACAGTTTTTATTTCAGTAATTCATTCTTTTCCATTATTGGGGCTATGAACCCTTATATACCCCGTATTTATAACTCCTATAAAGCTCCTGTATGATCTCTATCCTGTATAATCCAATATAACCCCAATGTGTGTTCAGAGTGCAATCGGTGCAGAGACTGCTATAAGCCGCAGTACAGAAGCAGCAGTGTGCACCTGAAAAATGGCGCTGCAGTTGTTGCTGGATCTCAAATGGTAGTTTCTGAAACTAGGGTGGCTCAATGTAGACCGCACATGTATCATAGTCCTCAGTATGAGGACCCCCTTCCAAAGGAACGTTAGAGGGAACCCTGCAAACACAAGGTAAACAACAAGAGCCCAAAAGGTTGCCCCCTTAAAGTGCAAACCCTGTAACCCCCCCAACAAAATATTCTCCGATTATATGAGCTATAGTCTAAACACGAAAGTCCTTAACGTGGTGTCATTTAGGGATTATGATGGCGGGTTATTTCGGCGGATACTAAGAGTGAAGACCACAGCTCATATGAAGGAAGATTGCATCTGAAGCCCTGTAAACCCACCAACAAAAAACAACCGATTTTATGACGGTATGCTATTGGGGGGGGGGGGTATTTCCTATTGGGGAGATGGGGAGGATCCTTTGGGAGCTGTGGGTATCAGATTAGGGGTCTAAGGGCTTAGGGATTACGGTTTAGGATCTAGGGATTTAGGGATTACGGTTTAGGATCTATTAATTTAGGGTTTAGGGATCTAGGGGTTTAGGGATTGAGGGTTTAGGGATTGAGGGATTAAGGGTCTTTCATCCGCAAGGCCATGCGCTGGATGTTCTCCGAGGAGGCGCTGAAGCTGCTGGACAGCTTGCCCGTGAGGCGACGCCTGTCTCGAAGGTGTTCTGGATTGTCCCACCAGAGAAACCACGTGGCCGCAGCATGACGAAAGCCAGAGGCCAACGCGGACGAGGCGTAGACTGGTCCATCGGCCCGTGCCACTCGAAAACTCCAGCGGAAGGAGGATACCGCTCTCGCCGCGAAAGGTCCAGGGCTTTGCCGCGAGAAGCAACCTATTACCGGCACAATAAACCGCCGCGTAAACCGCGCTGCTGGTGTTGGTTGCTGGTGAAGCTTCACTCGGATCACTTCATGCGGCAGGATCTGCTTCCTTGTTCCATTGTTGTAACTACAAGATGGGCAGCGTGGCGGGATCCCCTCAAGCATGATGTGCCTTGGCTGGTCTCCTTGTATGTCACACGAAAAACTTCGCAGCACGCCGGAGTTGGAGATTTCAAGGCCTTCTGGATATCGGCCGAGCTTGGCTTTATGCAATACAACCTAGGCAGCGACATCACCATTCAGTGCGTCAACACATTCATAGCTCACCTTCAGATGTTGCGACCTCCCCTGTGGATTCAGATCCTGTTGTCCAAGTCCACTGCTGTTGCTTACGACAAGGTACTGTATGACGTTCACCATCAACATTGTCCGAATTTGGCTATTCTTTAGTGCCCATTGAATATCTCCGAGGGGTTTGGTCACTTGCAGACACGAGTGCTGCTGAGTGACGGGGCTTCTGGGAGTCCGGCTGCAAAAAAAGGGATTTAGGGATCTAGGGATTTAGGGATAAAGGTATTTAGGGATTTAAAGTCTACGGATTCAAGGCTTAGGGGTCCAGGGTTTAGGGATTGAGGGTTTAGGGATTTAGGGGCTCAGGGTCTAGGGACTCAGGGATCTAGGGGATTTAGGGATTTAAAGTCTAGGGATTCAGGGTTGAGGGATCCAGGGAGTTGGGGACTTAGGGTTTAGGGATTTAGGGTTTGGGGATTTAGGGATAGGGATTGAGGGTTTAGAGATTTAGGGGTCCAGGGTTTAGGGATTTAGGGATCTAGGGATTTAGGGTTTAGGGAATTAGGGTTTAGGGGGATTAAGGTTTGGCGATGCAGGGATAGGGATTGAGGGTTTAGGGATTCAGGGATAGGGATGGAGGGTTTAGAGCTTCAGGGTTTTAGGGTTCAGGGATTTAGGCTTTAGGCTAGGGATCTAGGGATTTAGGGATTTTAGGGATTTTAGGGTATAGGGTTCTAGGGTACTTAAGGGTTATGAGCAATCTGCTGCTTCGGGAGGTGTGCCGACAGGCGCCACATCGGACGACCACCTCGTTGGAACTCTCAGGGGCCGCAGGGTTGGAGTCCCTTTAATGGGCTTAGGGTTTGGGGTTTAGGGTTAAAGGTTTAGGGCTTGGGGTTTAGAGTTTGGGGGGCTTAGTAAAGGGTTTAGGATTTAGGGNNGGTTTAGGGGCTTAGGGCTTAGGACAACCTTACAGTAGTAGTTATCACCATGGGTAACAGGAATTGTAATCGTTCATTGATGAAAACCCCTTTGAAGACAGTTACGCCGGTGGGGAATGACCCAACTGAAAAGGTTTTTTTGATATATGTAGGGATGTGTATGGCAATAGCCGCTCCTTTCTTTGGGGTTTCCATGGGAAGATCAGGGCAGAACACCCCTACTTAGAGGTTCATACTTGGGGTCATTTGGGGGTGACCTACAGCTTAAGTCCAATTTTAGGAGGGCAGAATTGCAACCAGTTACCGTGTCCCATGAACCTCTTGGTACAGATGCCTAATTTGTCAGACTGTGATCATTGTGGAGAATCTTGCCATGGAATGATCCTCCCCGCGAATACAAGCCCCAACCCCTACCCTGAATATTCCTTCGCGATGTAGCGGTACTACGTCCGGAATATTTCATGATTAGCGGAATTGGGAGTTTTCATAATGCAGAGGGTTTGGGATGATCACCCTCATATAGCCAATGGTATAAGCCCAGTTTTCATTTCACTCCTGATTCTTGCAGGGATCAAGGCCTAACCCCAAACCCCAAAGCCCAAGCCTAAAACCCACCAGCATTCAGCCCGCACGACACGAGCCCAGGGTCTATTCAGGTTCCCAAGATGTTTCAGCTCTTTTCACGGGCTGTTGCTGCTCGCACTGGCTCTGACGCAGGGCTCCCGCAGCGGAGCTCCTTCAGGAGCTGTCAGTCCTGCTCCGTACTCACCATGCCCTTGGCTGCCTTGCGTTTCCGGGCGGATGCCGCGGCTCAGGTTGAGGCGCCCTGAGCCTTGCAGTTCCTTTCGGGCTTTGGGAGGGTACTCTTGGCGGATCTCGCAACAGCCATCGGGAGGGTCGTGCGCTGAGCTTGCGCGCTCTCGGTGCTGCTCATGTCGCCCGCCTCTCTGCCTGGGATGCTCCTTGCTTAATTAGGCTTGTTGCTCTGGGCTTTTTTTCGTGCCTTTCCATGCCTTGCCTGCCTTCCTTGCGCCTTCGGCTAACTGACAACGCGTTCGCACAGGTTCAATGGATCTTTTTCCTTTGCAGAAATTTTCTGTGCCTCTTTACATGCCCCGCGCCTACGGGCCTGAGAAGGTGCCCGTACTTTCCCTAAATAGAGGGACCACAATATAGACTCCCAAATATTATAGTCCTTATTATGGGGACCTCCAAAAGGTACCCCTGATTTTGGGAACCTCCATGTGGTTGAAAGTGCCAAGGCGGAGATCGCTCTCAACGTCGGGGCCCTGGCCCGGAAGCCAGAAGAGCCATTGACTTCTGTACGAAAAACACATTTAGGGTGGATGGAAGAAATCTGGCACCACTTTGGATCCCCAACATATTGTAAGTCATGGAACTTCACGGACCTCAGGGTGGTGCAAGATGTCCACCATCAACAGTATAGTGTAGCCAGGAATATACGAGAGTCATCAATATGACCAAAAGGTTACATTTTGTGTTTCCTAATATGCCTGAGAAGCCTTTCTTGTTAGCCCTTGACCCCAACAATGAAGCCTTCCACTCCCCTATGATAATGTTCCATCATTTTCGTGTATATCACGGTACTATAACGGGTATACTTACCCATACGTTCACATGTAGACATACATGCGTATTAGCTGGGGGGTGTCGAGGGAAGGGATTTGTGACCACTTTAGAGAGCCAGCCGATACATCCTTCTGCAGGCCATCGACACAGGGTACGCAATCAAGGCATGAGGGGATCTTTGTAGTTTGTTTTTGTGCTTCGAGTATTTCTGAAAAAGGGCCCCCGCATAATAACCCAAGATGCTGTTAGCCTTTATGGTAGGGACTCCCAAGAATAAAAAGGGGACATGGTTGCTACGTCGTTGTTTTGCCTGGATGGGAACCTTGTGCCGCTGTATGGCCATGCAAGTGGCAAAGCCATCAATGCCTCAACAACACAATTAGGCTCCATGTTCTTGGCCATTCTTTTCAAGGTCCACTGGACCCCCTAAGCCCTAAGCCCTAAGCCTTGGCTCGTGATGGAGGCCTGTTGCTTTCAGATGTCAGTTGGACATTCCGGATTCGAACCTTTGGGTGCTGCCTCAGCCATGCAAGTGGCAAAGCTCTAATCCCTCAACTAACGCTACTGCTGCTACTGCTATTGCTACTACTACTAATATACTACTACTACTACTACTACTACCTCCTACTACTACTACTACTACTACTATTACTACTACGACTACTTGCTCCTGCTCCTCCTCCTCCTCCTCCTCGTCTTGCTGCTGCTCCTCCGTCTCCTCGTCCTCGTCTTCCTCCCCTCCT